CAGAACTAAAATATAGTGTGCTTATAAAGAGAGTGTGATTATATAAGGTGTGATTGTAGAGAGGGTTGACTGTATTTCTTTTTATTTAATGCTTATTTTATTATCAGCTTTTAGATTTTTCATAAAACTCAAAAGATTTTAGTAAGGATAAAAGTTATTTGTTCATTTTTATATACAGTAAACCAAGAGTCAGTAATTTAGAATTTGCTGATTATATAATAGTAAATTAAATGTATCATGAAGGTGATTCGATTATCCAGTTACCTTCAAGATTTATTAGTTATAAATAATATCAAAATGAATTGTGAATATTAGATCTTACAAAAAATTCATTTAAAGTGTTTAAATATGATGATCTAAAGATCAAAAATGTTTACTTTTAGTATCTGTTTTTAAATTAAATTTATCTTTTTATTTAGATCCTTATTATAATGTATCTATGTGAGTATGTAAAAATTTTAAGTTTAATTGATAAATAGGAATTAAAAAAATATATAATGGTTTAGGTGATAATCTTAAAGAAAAGAATAAATTTTAATATTCATTTGGATTCTAATATTGTAATAATAGATAATCTTTATAACTTATTATAATTTTTATTAAAGAAAACAATAGAAAATCTATATTATTTTATTTTATCTATATAAATCGCAATTTACATAAGTTTGTTATAATTATTTATAAAATTATCTTTTTCACAATTTTAGGTTGACATGATATATATAATATTTAATAATTTGATCTTCTTGTTGATCAATTTTTAATAAATCAATAGAAAATCTATATATTATTTTTGTTTTATTTATATAAATTGCAATTTATATTTACATAAAATTATCTTAATAAATCAATAGAAAATCTATATTATTTTTATTTTATCAAAATAAATCGCAATTTACATTTACATAAAATTATCTTCTCTATTATTTTAGGTTAATATTATACTATGTAATGTTAAAATTTTAATCTCCTTTCCATTTTTTATTGATCAATTTTTAACAAATTCTATGTCTATCAACTTAAAAAAATAATATTGTGAAAATTTGATGTAAAAATAGTTGAGATCTGCCGAAAAATGTTCTAAAAATTTTTCACACTTTACTAAACTATCTATAATCTTTAAAAGATTGATATGGTATATTTGTTTAGGCAAAATCTTTGTTATATCAATTATAGTTTCTATGTTAAAATCATATGTATGCAAACTGAACATTGATAACTTGAGTTTTTTCAAGATTGATATATTTTTTAAAAATGAGAAAATGTTCAAAATATTTTCATTTGATTGACAAGCACAAAAAGGCTAACAAGATCTATCTTTAGGTTTATTCAGAGTAATAGTAATAGAGGAATCATAATTAATAGTTCAGGTTGTTGATTTATTAATTAAGAGTGTTGATTTAGACCAATTAATCTGGATTTCATTAAATTATAAAAGCTATTGACAATATTAATAATGTTAGACAAATCATCCTTAGATTTAGTAATCCATAAAGTATCATTGGTAAAAATGTAATTAATCATCTCATTAAAATTATGTCTTTGAGAAAATTTTTGATTTATAGTCATTTAAAATAAAAAATTCTCAAATTAAAATTTGATGTTGTTTGATAAGCATCATTGATCCCAAAAGTAATACAACTATAGATTTCAAATTCCACGATGAGAATTTTTTTTGAGACGTTCTTCGCTCGTCATAAAACGGAATGAATTTTGATATTTTATTTATAAATTCTTCCTAGAAAATCAATATTCTAAATATATATCAACACCTATCCTGACTTGAAAACAAATAATACGATTTGTCTTTTGTGTTTCAGTATTACTTCGATAACTATATTTAATTGTTCTACCTATACCCTTCTATCAAAGAAACTTCAGCATCACCAAATATTTTTAGAACCAATCTTCTTGTATGAAAATCAGGGTTGTTGGGTAGACTATTTCTTAATTTAAAATTCATATTAAACATCTTTCATCTAAGTCTTGTGACAGTTATAGTCATTTTTAATTTGCTTTGAATTATTTACTTTATAAATAGGTTCCTTATTCTTGAGCTTTTTGTTGCCCTTCTCTTTTTCCTTATGGGTATCAACGGCCGGAGGTGCATCTGCAAAACTCATTGAGTATTGGAGACTCAACCACTTATAGGTCAAAACTTTTACTTTCAAATAAGTAACCAACAGATTTCGTTCGTTTTGAACTCTTTTTTTTTAAAAAAATAATGATATTATGAATAAAATATTTTGAAAAATGACTATATTTTTTTAACAGTAAAATAAAAAATATTGAAAAAACTTACCTATAACAGGAAGCAAAATAGTGTGGATTTAATTTATGGGAGAGAACAGGGAAGAGAGGTCGATGATGATAGTTATAAAATGGATGAAGTAGTAAGTGCATGAGGTAGTGTCTGGGAATATATTTGGAGAATCTAGGGGAAAAGTGGCTGGTCAAATGTATTAATATCAACTTAGTATTTATAAGAGTTATATTTGGTAAGTTGCAAATATCTATTATAATATGGTCCGGTGCAAAAAGATTGATACACCAATATGTTTATAATAAAACTTTTTTTTTTAAAATTTAATGTAAATTATTAAATAA